GTCTTTTGCCTATTTATTTGTCAATAAATAATGGAAAAAGAAATTCCAGTAAAACAGACTATCTTAAATTTGTTAACTGTTATAAATTATTATTATACGTATTATTTATCTTGACTTCACACAATCCTGAAAATGGGATACATACAATATGAGGATATTTAACTTATAGTTCGTAAGTTTCCAAACATTTGTATACAGAAATATATATTAATTTTCTTTTATGTCTGAATCCATAACAAACGATAGTTCCCTTTGTTTTATACAAAAAAAATTAATCGTTTTCTTTAAAAGTAATCATTGTATAACGAAGAAAGAAGCGATTCTATGCGGAAAATAAGTTGGAGATATAGAATATTTGTTCATACGAAGTTTGTTTTCGAGAAATATCGACATAGAAGTATACTAGACCAAAGAGTGTGTACATGCGTGTGTGTTTGTGTGCATAAACTACTTATTGTACTTTAAAAATGCTATAAAAGTATTAAAACACGGCAATTACTATAATGTACAAGTATGGCTTCCGCGACCGTTGATTAATTAACTAATAATTTGTTAATTACATTTAACCGATCCACTTGACGACGTATCTGTAATCACGTCACGTATTTTAATAACGTGCTTAACGAGCTTGAAAATTTATGTATTAAATCTTTACCGTAATAAATAAAATCTAAACCTATTACACGTATAGTGTAATTTTCAAGATTTTCAAGATTTTTATTCCATTTTAGATATCCTTCATACCAATACTGTATTGTTTAACAATAAAAATACATTGACGAGTTTTACTCGATATTAGAGATCTTCTATTAACACTGTACTATTGAACGTTAAATTCCATTAACGATTTCTATTCGATTTTAGACAACCTGTTATAATACTGTATTATCTAACAATAAAAGTATGGCGAAGATTTTTTTACTTTATTTCTTTCATTTTACAAACTTGGTTCAATTTTTCACTGCTGTTAGCAGTACATGTTTGGGAAACAGAAGAGGAACTCAATACCTTTCATAATTAATGGTGACTGCACGTATTCTGTCCTTGTTCTTTTTTCTTTCTTCACGCTCTTTTCTTTATTTTGACGTTATTTTGTTATTTATTATAGGATAAGCGATGCCATTACTAACTACTCTTGTTATATTTGAACATGCCGACGCAACATTATATTATTTTATGTTAATTAATAACAGGAGCATAGGAAACCGTCGAAGGCGGAATGAAATGAAATGCCAAAGCTTAACAACACGTAAAGTGACTTTTTTTTATTATCGATAGCTTTGCCTTGATTAAAATCTACGTGAATACGAACGCCAGAGAAAATTATTCATGAAATTGTCTAAAACTTTGATTTTCGATAAATATCGGAACACAAACTGAATCTCATAGTAAAATTTGAATATACATACGTGTATCGATGTAAAATAATTTCAAACTGAAACTATTAATCATAATTTATACTAGAATTAAATTAAAATATAATTTAAAATGAAACATTTAATGTAATTGTAATATAAGATTTAATAACTATATAGATGTAAATATTATATTACAATTATACATATGTATACAATATATAAATTAATATTATGAAATTATGATGTAGAGTATTATTGTAATATCATAAAATTAAGTGATATGATAATTAATATAGTAAATTCATATCAACTAGGATGTTATAAGTATATTAAGAAATTTTTCTATTGTAAGTAAGTGGGTCATGTAAAATTTAATTTTTTGGTGAATATAATTATAAAAATTGAACTTTCGCGCGCAAATTAAGAATTATAGATGTCTTACGTTTAATTTACACTATATAATATAACTAGTAAAAGAGTAAAAACTAGTAAAAGCTCTATACCTTTAATATTTTCGAGATTTACCAATTACTCCAGGCTTTCAAGTAACAAATTTAGCGAAAAAAATTTGCAACGTCGGATTAAGTCATTTTGCTTACGTCAACAACAGGTTGAGAGTAATTAATACGCTAGAAGGGAAGCCGTAGGTGATCCCAAGACGTAGTAAATTTCTACAGGCCTAGCGGAACGGTGCTAAATACGAAATTACCAGCAAACTCCATGCAGTCGCGTCTCAAGTGATAAAATTAAGACCATCGTGTAACGCAACGCCAAAGACTTTAATTACAACGCCTTCCGAGCACGGTGAAAAGTTCAGTGGGAAAATCAAAAGAACAGTACTAATTGAGATTCACCGCGCCCACATACTACGATATTTTCCCCGGTGCCCACGTTCTACGTTTCTTCGCGTTTTGCCCTGCATCCGTATCGGAAACCGTTTTTCTGTTTAATGGCGTTCATCCTTATCTCCACATACGATCCTGTGGAAAAACTTTTAGCTATCTTCAACGCGATCAACCACAACGACGATATATAATTTCGGTCGTTACGAAATACATTCAAAGTGCGCTTTTTATTCGAAGATGATTTAAGAATGAAAGAAGCGACATTTCATCTGGAACTCGCAATAATAAATTTTACATTTAGTTGAATAGATTTGTTGAGCCTCTCCAGTAAATTTGCTGATCGTTTCGTAAATTTTTGGTAGAACTGTTTTCTTTTAATCGAATATAGTGATATGACATAACTGAAACAGTTTAGTCATAACAGTGGTAGTTTGCTATCAAAAATGTTACTTTAATCCAGAGACTTTAATCCATTTCTTTTATACAGATATTAAATTACATTTTGACATTAATCGTAGCAGTAACGACATATATGTAAATAAGTTCCCTGCTTTGCCTGCGCAGCTTTGTTTGGATTTAATATATGCATAACTTAAATTTTGCTGTATTGAAATGTTTTCCATAATGAAATTTTTTTAATGTAGTACAAGTTTTAAGTCTGAAATGAGAATAACACGATATGTTAAATGCCTTAATATAAAAATAATATAAAAGTACTAAATAAAAATGTTCTATTTTGATATTAAGTTCATATAACACTGAAATGTATGGAGTTTTTACAGATGTTATTGTTTAATAATTGTTTTCAGCAGAAAGTTGTATTGAATTTCTTAGAAAAACACAGTGTAGTTACATGACTAAAGCCAATTATAGTTTGTAACGTATCTACGATTTATATTGAAAATTAATTTGAAACTGCACATACATTTAATACATACATAAATAATATACATTTTCTTATTAATTTTAGCGCTAATAGCGAAGAAACTAGGAAAAAATAAGAAGCTAATAGATAACATATAAGGCAAAAAAACTATAAAAAAAATTAAGAATAGTAATAAACTGTATTATAGTAGATATAGACGAAGGTATCAAACGCTAAAGTTCAACTGACCCACGTATTACGAAAATTAATAATTCCCCCGTCGTTTGTGAATAAGTAAACCGAAGAACACACTAACTAAATTATCTTCGAGTAATTGAACTTCTTCCTAAAACAAGTTATTACATCAACGTTATTAGTACCGGAAAGAAAGTTTAAATTTGCATAAAGTTTCGTGGAGCACTGAGTCGAATAGTGGGTGTTCACATTGTTGGCACACAAACTTTTTCACTGGTACAACCAAGTTTCGCGGAATACTTACTTTCATAATCTTCCAATATATTGCTTCCACTTGTACGACACATTTCATAAATTATTTTATTAGTTCCTGTTTAACTTGAAACACCGGGTTCGATATAGCTCATAGAATTTAGAAAGCATCAAATCGTATGTATGGTCCTATAGGGAAGATTGATTCATGTACGCGTAAAGTGGGCAAAATGTTCACAACTGAGTTATGGAAACCGGAAACTCGCTGTTCAACTTCTTGACTGCGATAAACTACCCTACCAATTTGTTTATTCGATGAAGTGAAGCTGTACATACATACTTTGAAAATACGTGACATTAAACTCTCGATTATCCTTTAAAACATGATACGGAACGTATGCTTTTAAAATTAATTAAAATTCTACTAAACTATATATACAATATATTATTATTATTAAATATGTATTATATGTAATATGTACACACATTCTGTAAAATAAAAGAAAATCGTTTTGTTTGAGATATAATATTTATTTTGTAATTTTAATAGAATATAGTAGTCGGAGTAACTTCGTTTCCTTTTTGAAGGTATCAATTATGTTAGAAATAAATTTTGGAAAAGAATAATGGTGCCATTATTAAAATATTTTTAGAATTTAAACGAAAGCTACATTTTATGGGCGAAAAAATTTTCGCGATTATCGCGTAGCGTACGAATCAGAAAATAGCTTTGATATATCTTGCTTTGATGCGCGTCTCTAAATACCGAAGAATATTCCATATACGCGGGTAAATTCAACGTTTAATGAAATTCAAAGCGACCGCTTTCATTGTCATTTATGATTTCACCCATTTCCTGTGAAACTGACAAGCTAGGCTTACTTTAATGAAAAGCAGCAGCCTGTCGTGTATCCTTCTTTCCATTTAAAGAGTACCCGAGGCAGTGATCGAGTCTCCGGGTTAAGTAAAAATCCTGTTGATGAAACAACTTCATTTCAGAGTTTTCACGGTGCTTCGGTATGACGGCTTAGCGTATCCGTTGCAATTACGGAAACAACTTGCTCTGCCGCTTGTAACTTTCAGGGACAAAGGACACCTATCGCAGCTTTCATTAACCAAATGGAGCCGGAGGACGCGGTGTATCGAAAATGCGGTCGCATCGACGATCCAAAGCAAATAGGAGAACAACGAAATCAGATAAACTAGCGTTCTATTCTCGATCACCACGTACAACACCGCGTTTCAGCTTCTTCAATAACATAATCACACGAATATTCTTCGAATACGCAATAGTATCTTTGAAATAAAGAAAAAGAAAAGAACAGAACGTGAAAGCAACGATTTTATTAAACCCGTATAGAACGACGGATACGTAGAAATTCGTGGAAAATGGACCTGCCACCATGTTACGCGACGTTGTCGAATGTTTTAATTAACACGAGCACACACAGGAAGAGAAAGTTTGAAAGTAAAGAAAGTACTCACCAAAGAGGACCGCGTGTAGTCGCGTCACGTTGAAAGGGAAAAGAGTAATCGCGACAACAAGAAGAATCGGCGGGTGTAAGACGCGCGTGGCAGCCACTCGAAGAACTCTCGAGTCACAAGCGAGAGCGTAAAGAGAAAAAAAAGGAAACGGAAAGTTCGGATTCTCAGCGAGACGACGAGAAGTGTGCGCGTGATTGCGTGTCGGGGCGCGGACTGAACGACTGGGAGAGTACGGTCGTCTCTGGTTGTCCCACCCCATGCTCTCCTCAAACCATCCCCACTCTGCATCCCGCCATGAAGCTCCAAAGCTCCCCACGATCCCACACCCTCAACACTTCCAGTACCGTTCGTCGTCAGCGCCAACGCCCTTGCGCACTGGGGACGTCTACGAAACGTGGCCTCGTCGGTCCTTCGCCACTCGACACCTTCAATTTTACATTGCACCTTTCCCCTTCTTTCACTTTCCCGCTTTAATTATTATCTCCCCTTCCCCATACTCCGTCACGAATGCCAAAAAAATGCATTACTCCAAGATAATTGACCGTTAAACGACGTATAACAAGGGCTGACTGTTATTTATTTCCCAATGGAGTCCGGACGGAGCCGCGTAAAGAGATAGCTTCTTAGTTTATGTTTGACGTTTTATTGCGCCGCTCAGACGTGCTATGTAAGAACTTACGAAAGATCTTAAGGGGAACTCGGAGTTTTTTAACTTGCAAGGTATTTGTAGGTTCAAATTAAAACGGCGAGGGAAGGACATTTTTTTTCTCGAATATACGAGAGTTTTTGTTTTATTAAGAAGTACGTTGTATCAGTGGATTTTGTAACTACGGTGTATAAAAGTTATTGCGTTAATACATTAGCTTTTTCTAGAACGATATAGTTTTTGCTAAGATAGTAGATATGTAAGAGAGGAGGAATATTTTGTAGTGAGCCTTCGTCTTTAACGAGATTAACGAAACTTTTTACAGTTAGGACTGGATTGGAACAAAGAATAATAAGGAACGATAGTTACTACAAAATATGTTAATGCGATTCATAGAATTTTTCTCTCATAGAACGTATGATATATGTAGATGTACGAAAAGAGTCGTTCTTTGGAAAAGTTTAATTTGAAACCACCTAGACGATCTTTCAACCCTCGGAACTTCCAGATATATTGCAGTTGCTTTCTTCTTCGTGAACTTATGTGGCTTTTATCTCGCGTTACATCAACCTCCATCACAGTCTGTCACTTTCATTCTCGATCTACCTTTCACGAACTTGGCAAACTTGTGAACCGTTATGAAATTGTACACGTTTAAGCTGCCTACACTTTTTAGTCTTGCATTTCTTTTCTTCTCTTTCTCGAAGTAAAGAAAGATCTTTTATTCAAATATTTTATAAAATTGTATGTTCCTAATGATCAGAACTGCGTAAATTAAGCAGCTACTGAAATCTAGTTTCCTTAATATCTATTGTACCATCTTTCATATGAATATCATTGTTATCAGATATAGCACTTTGAGAATTGTTCTTAAAATATTATTTGGCACATAAATTCGTACATTTTACTACAAAAGTTTCCATGTACCTTATAATGTACCCTATAAGAACTACTATAAAGGCGGAAAAAGAACTCCGTAGTATATTGACATAATACAGTTAGGAATGGCAAGATTGTACGAGCACAATTTTGTTCCTATGCATGTGTTTGAATATTTTTAACTATCATTTTACGGGAGTCTTTTATGGGATGTGTAAAGATTTTCACGAACGACTGTATACCGTTAGCACAAATCTATAATAGGTCAAGATCTTACTTAGGAATAACGTTAAAAGATTACTCGTCCATTTTGTCTGCATCATCGCTTAAATTTTTGTAACTATGACATAATGAACATGCAAGAATCCTATCGGTATTGTCACGATATAAATTTACGACTATAATATATTCTCAAGAAACATTATAATTCAACTGCGGTGCCACAATTCTGGCAAATCAAGTTGGCTTAACGTGTGAGAATATTTTCTTTGGAGTCTGATCGGGTCTCGAGATTACGTGAAAGGTCCTGTTGGACCGATGCATCTCGAAGGGTAAGTCGAGATTCCCGTTTTCTCATACTGGAATTGCTCGCGGTTAAAGTGCTATCAGTGATTCAGAGTTAGCGAAGTGTCGAAGATCGAAGAAGAAAATAATGGCGAGCGATAGAGGGAGGATAGGTCGAAATCCTTTTGAGTTTCGGCAAGTACAAGAACAGCAGAACAAGTTAGAAGTGTCTTATCACGATCCCAGATCGTGATAAAAGCAAAATCACTTCAACGATCGTGATTCGTAGGAAGATGAATTTGATGGTATGATTAATGTAGGAATAATTACATCATTTGATTATGTAATATATTAATTTATAATGATATGACTATATTTAAAAAGATGTATCGATTATCATAGTCGTTATAGCAAAATATTTTTGCTGCAAACAATTATTAAAGTACATGAAAATGTAATAATACGTAGGAACAAGGTCGGAAGATAGGAAGTGGCAGAACTTCATATTCCAGTTCAATTAATTCCTCTGTATTGATTTCTGATACGTAGGGCAGACATTATTGTCCATCATCTAAAAAGTAAGTTATATCAACGGAGGAATTTATTTAAAAATAATTATGCGTATATAAACCACAAGATTCTACAGAGTCACATTTTTCTCATAATATAAAAATATAAAGATATAATAATAATATAAAGGTATATTCCAATTTATCGTTCATTTCTCTGTATATAGAGGACTCATATTCTGCTTTTATTGCTAATACTTTCCTATGTGAATTTGTGTAACACGTATGAATACTTTCCAAATAATATTAATATGGAAAATGTAAAGGAAATCAATAACAAGAATAATCTATATAATTTTAATATTAAATTTGAAACTTAAATCGTTATTATCAGCAACGTTCAAATTGTGAGATAGAGTATTGCATCCAGTTGCAATGCTTTCTCCGATCCACTCCGAAACTAACATTAAGCCAGCTTATAGATACAATTGAAGGATTTACAACGGCTGTGGGAGTACTAGAAATTCATTCATAGTCCTCTCAATACTCGCAAGGTAAAATTATTATCTTGAATGATTGGCTATTAATCGATCGACGTTAATCATCTTCGCGATGGTCTAAACTAATTCCAGGAAAAATATTTCTGTTACAAACCTCCGTAACGTAAACAGATATGGGTACATAAATAGACGTTGTATGCATTACGTAACAAATTAATGAATTACTAAATAAATACTAAATAATCACTAAATAAATGTTAAAAATCAAATTTCGAATATTTCGTAATATATGTATGTAAATCCAATTATTCTGATAAATACTTTTTCTTATTTTATCAATCATTTCTATCTGTTGAATCGACGTAAATGAATATCAATCATTTAGTTGCGTAAAAAATATACGACAACAAAATTGAAAGAACAGCTAGATATCACTCGATTAATGATGTGATAAAAGAAAAACGATGGAGGTGGACAAAGGCACGCGTAAATAGACGATAACCAACAATAGGTCGGTCACCTCGGGAAATATATGAGAAACAAAGGCTGATGACTGGCTAGACGTATTGATTTGCTATTTTCAGAGATGACGATGTAGGTATTTATCTTTAGCAAGAAAGCGCCTTTTCTTCGCGGTGCTCTTATCGCTATCTTGTAGCTTGGCTGAGGCGTATAGACGAGCAGAGTGCACTCGCGAAGCTGGCACGCGTCGTTTCATTGTACGAGATGCATCGCATCGTAGCGTACAAAGATCACCTGATATGCACAGGGTGTCGTAAAAGAAGCTTCGTCACTTTGTTTTTAAATAATTTATAAACGAAATGTTACAAAAATGGGGATCGTATAATATCGAGTTATCTACGCTTTTATTACTATTAATCTGTATTTCTACATACTTTATATTTTTCCAATCTATTTTCAACTTACGCAACATACGTGTAAGAGTTTTCGAATAAAATTCATGCTTCCAAAGTATATTTCGCTGTATATCCTTTATCAATGGATATTTTTTACTTTATTGGATCATTCTGTCAATTATATGTGAAACATGATACCGGCCAAATGACCTCTTCCAGCTGTTTTACAAACGCGTGTATGTGCGTGCATCAATAATATTTCTCGTAACACGTTCCATATATTACTTGTTCAATTTCCTGACGAATATTGTGACTTTAATTGCTTTAAGTGTTGAATTATGGCTGGCTTGTTCGCAGAGATCTTTCCTTTTAAATATTTCCAAAGAAACAAGTCTACAACCATAAAGCCAAACGAATCTTTTTCAGTAGCTAATGAGTATGTCGATTTTAATCCTATTCTTGTCTGATAGCATAGTAGTAATCGTAAATCCGTTATTGTTCCCTTTGTATTTCGTTTTTTTCTATTAAAACTTTCTACTAAAGCCTCGAGGGACTTTTATGCTTAATTATACCTGTACCAGAACGGACCGCTGACCGCAGAATCCAATTTGTAGAGGCGCCGGGATTGTTTAACGCTGAGCGTGAAGTAAATCGACGAAGACTCGGCGAAGTAACCGGAGAACTTTGACGGAAATGATACATCAAACTTGCATTTATAAACTTGTACTTTGTACGAATGTACCGCCCGAGTTAAAACTTTCCCAAAGACAAGTTGACGCGATTAGATTTGGAAAAAGTGAGATTTTCACGCGATACGAATGCGATAGACTCGTATCGACGACACTCGAACGGCTCGCTAATCGAAAACAAGTCCGAGCGAAGAAGACCGTTTTTTGATTATCCTAACGATTGATCTATGGCTGTCATACGATGGAAATTGATTAGGATTGGACCTTCCCGAAATCGTACAATCCTGTAAGTAACGCGACAAGTGTGGAAGGAACGCGAAAGTAAAAAGCAGGAAGCACGCGTTGACACGGACATCGCGACATGCAAACATCGAAAACGCGAACAACATCTGCAAAATTTAGCTGTTAAACACGGACACTTTGTATGTTTACGATAATGTGAAAGTATCCAAATGTAATATTTATAGGCGATGATGTGTGTGTATCTATACAGTGTGTCGCAACGGTCATGGTACAATTGGCAAAGGGACGATTCATATGACGCATTTTTTATATAATGCTTCGTTTTCGAGAAAATCAAGTTATTTGAAGAGTGACATGACGAAATTTTATTTCACATATACTATCAACGTTTTTATCACGTATGATTGTACTGTGAATGCTGTAGCATCCTGTGCATAGAAGCAGTGT